GTTCCACGCTGACTGTTCATCCAGACAGACGGCTCACGTTAGGCTGTGTTACCCGGGGCACAATGACGCCATATTGACGCAGGGTAATGACTGTTTGGAGAGGCGTTCCTGACGTCGTCACAAGGTCATCCGCACTCGCTCTATGTCTCTGGAAGTAACCAACGTGTAATTACAGGGTCTAGGTAGGCAATCTTGTGTAATCAGCAAAACCCGTCCTCGATACGATCCCCCAAGTCTGATAAAAAACGCGTTAAACCTCATACAGTTGATGTTTTGCCAATCAATTAGAGTGCACTTGACATTTCTTAAACTGGTATGATATTGTCATGACAGATTCTAAACCTGAATTATATATTGTATTGGGGGCTGTCCAAGTAGCTACATTATCGCCACTTGAGTGAGTGAGTTTTACGCCGCTCGTAGCAAATTGAATATTTCAAGGAGCATCACTACGAGGCGGGGTAGATGGCTCCATGCACGTTTTTCACCGCAAGGCGATCCCTTGTTAAGGAAATGGATAAGGCCAGTTAGCATCCAACCTCAGAAACCCCAGTCATCACAGACGCCATCCGGCCACAAAACACCCATCTCTCCCCAAAGACACCTCCCCAACCTCAGAAACCCCACACCACCCGACCCCAAAACACCATCCCTCCCCAAAGACAGCTCCCTACCCTCAGAAACCTAGGCAATCGTAGACACCCCCTACCGCAAAACACCACTCCTCCCCGAAGACACATCCCCTCCCTAAGACACCACCTCATCCTGCGTCAAAGACACCTCCCCACCCTCAGAAACCCCAGTCACCATACACACCTTGCGACCCCAAAACACCACCCCTCCCAAAAACGTCTCGCCTCCCTAAGACACCACCTCATTCCACCCCAGACACAGCCCCACCACAGACAAAATCAGTGGGAATTGAAGGTCTACTATATCCGGAATCTCATTTGGAGACAAGCAGTAGGTACTGGGGCTCTAGTCTACCCGTGAAGACAAGCAGTAGGTACTGGGGCTCTAGTCTACCCGTGAAGACAAGCAGTAGGTATTTGGGCTCTAGTCTACCCGTGAAGACAAGCAGTAGGTATTGGGGCTCTAGTCTACCCGTGAAGACAAGCAGTAGGTATTGGGGCTCTAGTCTACCCGTGGAGACAAGCAGTAGGTATTGGGGCTCTAGTCTACCCGTGGAGACAAGCAGTAGGTATTGGGGCTCTAGTCTACCCGTGAAGACAAGCAGTAGGTATTGGGGCTCTAGTCTACCCGTGAAGACAAGCAGTAGGTATTGGGGCTCTAGTCTACCCGTGGAGACAAGCAGTAGGTATTGGGGCTCTAGTCTACCCGTGAAGACAAGCAGTAGGTATTGGGGCTCTAGTCTACCCGTGGAGACAAGCAGTAGGTATTGGGGCTCTAGTCTACCCGTGGAGACAAGCAGTAGGTATTGGGGCTCTAGTCTACCCGTGAAGACAAGCAGTAGGTATTGGGGCTCTAGTCTACCCGTGAAGACAAGCAGTAGGTATTGGGGCTCTAGTCTACCCGTGAAGACAAGCAGTAGGTATTGGGGCTCTAGTCTACCCGTGAAGACAAGCAGTAGGTATTGGGGCTCTAGTCTACCCGTGAAGACAAGCAGTAGGTATTGGGGCTCTAGTCTACCCGTGGAGACAAGCAGTAGGTATTGGGGCTCTAGTCTACCCGTGGAGACAAGCAGTAGGTATTGGGGCTCTAGTCTACCCGTGGAGACAAGCAGTAGGTATTGGGGCTCTAGTCTACCCGTGGAGACAAGCAGTAGGTATTGGGGCTCTAGTCTACCCGTGGAGACAAGCAGTAGGTATTGGGGCTCTAGTCTACCCGTGGAGACAAGCAGTAGGTATTGGGGCTCTAGTCTACCCGTGGAGACAAGCAGTAGGTATTGGGGCTCTAGTCTACCCGTGGAGACAAGCAGTAGGTATTGGGGCTCTAGTCTACCCGTGGAGACAAGCAGTAGGTACTGGGGCTCTAGTCTACCCGTGAAGACAAGCAGTAGGTATTTGGGCTCTAGTCTACCCGTGGAGACAAGCAGTAGGTATTAGGGCTCTAGTCTACCCGTGGAGACAAGCAGTAGGTATTGGGGCTCTAGTCTACCCGTGAAGACAAGCAGTAGGTATTGGGGCTCTAGTCTACCCGTGGAGACAAGCAGTAGGTATTGGGGCTCTAGTCTACCCGTGGAGACAAGCAGTAGGTATTGGGGCTCTAGTCTACCCGTGGAGACAGACATAGGATGCCGAAGGACTCGGGGGCAGTTTTTGTTGGACAGTGCCGCTGTAAGTGTGAAATATTGCCGATGCAACTTCAATACGAGTGATTGATTCACTATGGTGCTACGCCACCTAACGCTCTATCGCAGGATTATCACAGGATTACGTTTGTTTGTTGTTTAACGCCGCACTCAGCAAAATTCCAACTATATGACGGCGGTCTGTAAATAATCGAGTCTGGACCAGAGAATCCAGTGATTGACATCATGAGCATCGATCCACGCAATTGGGATACGATGACATGCATCAACCAAGTCAGCGAGCCCGACCACCCGATCCCGTTAGTCGCCTCTTACGACAAGCATAGTCGCCTTTCACGGCAAGCATGGGTTGCTGAAGACCTATTCTAACCCGGATCTTCACGGGTCACTTTACATAAGTAACTACATATATGTATATACATTGTGACGGGTGCAGCCGATGCATCAACCAAGTCAGCGAATCTGACCACCCGATCCCTTAAGTTGCCTCATATATTTTATTTCTTGGGCATTGGGCACTTTAAAACCTGCACATGGGGGCACTTTAAATAGTTTTTTTTTATTTCTTTTCATTCCCAGCATCTCAATTCACTAATTCTGCCACCCGTTTACATACACAAAACCTTGAGTCTGGATTAACGAGTTACATGAAGCGATAACGATGGTGAGTTAGTTTGTTAGTTGTTTATCGCTACACTCAGAACAAAATGGACGAAACAATACAGTGATTGACACCATGAGAATCGATCTACTCAACTGGGACACATTGACATTCATCAACCAAGTCAGCAAGCCTAACCATCCTTACTGAAGGTGAGGTGAAGGGGGTTTAACGTCGTGTCCAAGATTATTGCACTTATATAGCGACGTGCATGCACGTGTGTGTGTGGCTGCTTGTACTAGTCCGGACTGATGCCGATTTGTAGTGCTAGCACACTGAGATACCATGCCGCAGTTTAACATGAATACCCAACTCAGACACACTATACTGACTCCGAGCCGACCAGTTTTAGCCCCTTAATGCCGAGCGCCAGACAGGATAACAACAAGTACCACCTTTTGACATATTTTGGTATGACGCGGCCGGGAATCGAACCCCGGACCTTCCGCTCTCCATGCGGACGCTCTACAACTAGATCACGGAGGCGGTCGCACTACTGTAGAAATGTCGACAATTAGTGTGCAAACAATTGCAAGGGTGTCCTGAGAATGTCGAGTAAAAAATAATAATGATAACTTGAACGACAGCGTGACTTTGACTTTCAGACAAAGAAAATTTATGTCCGAGGAGCATTCATTACCTGTGAACAACTTTAAGCTTTTTTTTATTAACAGTTTGGCACTCTGGTGAGTAAACTTCACACTATATCATAGCTTGTAAACAATTGAAATTTTGGCTGGTGAATGTTTGGTTGATATTTTAAACAACGATTTAAGATCCCCGATCAAGTCACCGAGTCGATTTTGTCGACCTTACGACAAGCATTATATAACGCTTTGGAGCCTTTTCTAACCCGGGTACCTACGGACATTAAACTTAAGCATCCAAACTTCATTGAGGCAAATATACACATTACAAAAATCTCGAGGAAGATAAGGCTCCATATTCGTTATCTGAATAAAGGATAAATTGAAAGATGGTTTTCAAAACTAGGGCGTTTATTTGTTCTTTGCGCTTTAGAAATCGAAATCAGTTTTTTTGTCAAAACGTTTTGCAGAGTAGGAAGTTCGCATATAAAATGTGTCAACATCAAACGGGATTCGAACCTGATTAAGTAGTGACTACATGACAAAACAACTACCCCACCCACAACGACAAATGTCCATCGATAAAACCTGACTGCGCCAGCTGTATAATTAGCGACCTCTACTTTTAATACCAGTCTTCAGTGAAGCGCCGCACCAACTGACTTTAAATATCAGAGGTAAAATTCGACTCTATCGCTCGATGTTGCAACAATCGTCATAAAAGGTCATTACCGACGGAAGATTAATCAACTTAGCAATTTTATTATTGGAATCAATAACGTAGAAATAGTAGAATCCTTTCAAGAAGTGGAGAAATTTTCAATAAATCATTCAATCTTATTACTGCTTTGTGGTGAAATATTTAGCACGGCTTCTAAGCGAAATAACCCCAGTGGTAGCTTGCGTGTATACATTGAAAATCTGAAAGCAATTATTGGAAATTGAAATGTTGACGACCCTAGCAGAGTCGTATTGGTTCAGCTGGCTGGTCAGCAGAGGACTGACAATGCCCACTAATAAGCCCTCGGTCACCGGTCACCCTCGCGCGCTCTGCACGTGGCGCGTGAGACATCCAGCATTGGTCTGGAGGATCGATACGAAGTCAGCGACTCAACAGATAAAACGTTTTCCCGCTGGGTACTGTCAGTGATAGTAAACGGTGACCACTGTGAATCTAAAGCAGTCCTTGAAGAAGACTACAGATGAGATCTGAGTGAAGCACACCCTACGCATCTGGTGTCGTCTGCTGCTTCAGTAAGCTTCCAATACCACGTGGTGAACCGCGAGAACCCCCCTCCCCCCTTGTTGCCATCCCCCTGGCGTTGTCTCTACATTCTGTCAAAGTCGATACTAACATATATCATCCTTCTGACCGCTGATTTGAGCTCGCGCGTGACGTCATAACGCTCTGCCCGCCTTTTTCCCGCGTGTTCTGAGCTCTGGCTAAACTGCTCACTCAAACCATTGAAATCAATTTCTAATTGGCTTGGACTGAGAAAGTCATTACCTTGCGTCGTTTGTACCAGATCTCTGTTACAGTTTCGTTTCAACATTCTAGCAGATCTTTTTTTTATATATTCTTGGTTCGTAAATCGCCACTTTTCATATCTGATAGGGACATGGCATTAAGCCCATGAATATGCACTAGCTTTGAATCGGTAGCTGGGCAAGTGGTTCCATCTATATTTAACGTGTTTTGCATTCAATACAACAGCCGGGGATGGCCCCTTGTGATAAAGACGGGCTACAGCAAGAGATAGTTCCCCACTATGATTGTATTTCGGAATATGGAATTACGTGTGTCAGTGGCGTCGTGTCTGAGGAGCCCGTAGTGGCAACTGCTGTGACGAGGAACTAGCCCTGTGTACACACAGCTCAACAGATGCCCTGCCGCAGCAGCCGTGTATATGTCCATATGTCGCAGTGTCTGCCGGCCGGCAGGTAGCACGGAGAGCCGATGGTTCGACATGACATTGTGTCTCATAGCGAGATGCCTAACGATGTGAGGTGGACCCCGGTCGTTCTGTTGTAGTGGACTGTGCGGTGACGAGCGTGTTGTCACTACAGGAGCATGTGAAGTCACTCGCCCTGCATGCGAGTCTGTGTATACATGTTGTAGTGATATTTCGATGTGACGTAGGACTGTTTTACACACTCGACACACGTGGTGTGCAATTCCATCGATCTGACTCAACTGTCATCTGTCGTCTGCTCGTGTGAGGTGTTGATGCAAAAGTGGAATACTTTATGGACGCGTGTCATTGACGGTGTGATATTACAGTGTGTTGGATATATTCTTTAAAAGCTGTAATCTGGATGTGCCCTTTTAACGGAGTACATGTGAGTTTAACATTCGATTCAGCCGTATGGAGGCGCTAAAACAATGTCGGGTGCATTGGCGCGGAGAAAGACTAGCGACACTGGTTTGGCGGTCAGATACACGCCGTGCGCCAATTCAGAATTGGATGGGGACGAAATTGAGGAAATCGCCATCGTGAGCAAAGATGCAAAAGAGTCACTGGAAGATGAGGTTGAGGTGGAGGCAGACGTCGAATGTGGCGAGCAGACGACAACAGCCAACGGTCCTCGATCGCTCCCTGGGTTGGAGATCTTCTCATCACCGAGTGATCGCACCAAGTTGATTGGTGAAAGATTAAGTTCCAGCGATAAAATTAGCCTCTCCTCGCCCATCTATTCAAATAAGGTTGTGGAACAGAAATCGAAGTCAACGTCGAAACAAAGTCTGTTGGATATTGTTAGCGGCAAACTGGATCTTGTCAAAACACGGAAGCGCTATTCCCTTGCCCAGTCCTCGCTCATGAAAAAGCCGAGACCGAGCGAGGCCAATATTGTGACATCGCGAGGCATTCGGAAACAGCGAAAGAAGGAAATCGAGGACAAATTCGGCAAAAAGAGCGTCAGAGGTGAACGATTCGAAACCGCGACATCGGTCAGCTCGGACAGGGATGGATGTAACTGGACATTCGTGTTTGACCCCTCCGGAAGGCTTTGTTATTGGTGGTCATCTGTGGTCAGTATGGCGTTCTTATACAACTTTTGGGTCATTATTTACAGATTTGCATTTCAGGAGATTAACGCAGATAACCTGTCCGTGTGGTTCACCCTGGACTACACCGCCGACTTCCTCTACGTCCTTGACATCGCCTTCCACTTCCGGACGGGTTATCTGGAAGACGGTGTGCTACAGACAGACCCGACCAAGCTTAGACTCCATTACATGAACACGACCACTTTCTACATAGATTGTTTGTGTTTACTACCGTTAGATTTTTTGTATCTTTCCATCGGTTTCTGCTCAATCCTTCGCTGTTTTCGCCTGGTCAAAGTTTATCGTTTTTGGACGTTCCAAGACCGAACGGAACGTCACACAAACTACCCCAACGTGATCCGAACCGGTACTCTGCTGCACTATCTCTTGGCGTTGTTTCACTGGAATGCGTGTCTCTACTTTGTGGTAGCGACGAGGATGGAGAAGTCTCAGGACACGTGGAGGTTCCCCAAGGATAGCACGAACACCGTCCTTCAGTACCTCCACGCGTTGTACTGGAGCACCTTGACCCTCACCACCATTGGGGACCCTCCCTCACCCGTTACCATGGGAGAGTACTTGTTTACTATTTTTGAAATGGTGTTTGCGCTGTTGCTGTTTGCAACGGTGCTGGGACACATTGCCAATATAGTGACAAATGTGAGTGCGGCCAGAAAAGAGTTTCAAGGTAGGTGATATTTACATCTTTAAGTCTTTTCAGGAATATTTTTGAGTTTTCAGTGAAGACATTTTACTTCAGGATACATTTCAACGTCCTGATATCCTGAACGTCTTATTACACGATTTGGTTTTCCTGAGGAAAACATATATCATTTTTCATTGCATCTTACATATATTTCAGATTTTTCAAATTTAAAATGTTGCCATTGAATATCGCCCTATATTAACGGCATATATCTTTATAACATATATTATAATATGTTATTTATAACCCAAGGTTCGTTCAACCCCAACCCCCAAAACCCCAAACCCCAACCTCCGTGCAAGCTGTCCCAAATGAACGGTGCATTGTCCGCCCACGTGCATGAATAACATACAGATGTTCTGGTGAGTTTCTATAGCATATATCGATCAGTTGTACAGTCGATGTACGCAACATTCCCAGGGACGCCCCAGAACCTTTGCCTCAATGTCGACATGTCATGCTGTTGATCCTAGTATTATAGTGACGAACTTGTAATTTGTATATTGGGATATTTCTTGCTGTTCTGACATCGAAATGTGTGCTTGTGTACTGTGACTTGAATGAGGCTGAACTTTATAGTTTCATTACAATAATGGATAATATTTGTTTGACAATGTCACATGAATGAGGCTGAACTTTATAGTGCCCGTTCCATTGCAGTAGTGGGTAATATTTGTTTGACAATGTCACATGAATGAGGCTGAACTTTATAGTGCCCGTTCTATTGCAGTAGTGGGTAATATTTGTTTGACACTCACACTTGAATGAAGCTGAACTTTAAAGTTCCATTGCAATAGTGGGTAATATTTGTTTGACAATGTCACTTGAATGAGGCTGAACTTTATAGTGCCCGTTCTATTGCAGTAGTGGGTAATATTTGTTTGACACTCACACTTGAATGAAGCTGAACTTTAAAGTTCCATTGCAGTAGTGGGTAATATTTGTTTGACAATGTCACTTGAATGAGGCTGAACTTTATAGTGCCCGTTCCATTGCAATAGCGGGTAATAATTGTTTGACACCGTCACATGAATGAGGCTGAACTTTATAGTGCCCGTTCTATTGCAGTAGTGGGTAATATTTGTTTGACACTCACACTTGAATGAAGCTGAACTTTAAAGTTCCATTGCAGTAGTGGGAAATATTTGTTTGACAATGTCACTTGAATGAGGCTGAACTTTATAGTGCCCGTTCCATTGCAATAGCGGGTAATATTTGTTTGATAATGTCTCTTGAATGAAGCTGAACTTTAAAGTTCCATTGCAGTAGTGGGTAATATTTGTTTGATAATGTCACTTGAATGAAGCTGAACTTTTAAGTTCCATTGCAGTAGTGGGTAATATTTGTTTGACAATGTCACATGAATGAGGCTGAACTTTATAGTGCCCGTTCCATTGCAATAGCGGGTAATATTTGTTTGACACCGTCACATGAATGAGGCTGAACTTTATAGTGCCCGTTCCATTGCAGTAGTGGGTAATATTTGTTTGACACTCACACTTGAATGAAGCTGAACTTTAAAGTTCCATTGCAGTAGTGGGTAATATTTGTTTGATAATGTCTCTTGAATGAGGCTGAACTTTAAAGTTCCATTGCAATAGTGGGTAATATTTGTTTGACACCGTTACTTGAATGAAGCTGAACTTTAAAGTTCCATTGCAATAGTGGGTAATATCTGTTTGACAACATATAGCACCACACCATCCAAATCTAGATTCTAGCAATATCCTTATCTAAAGTTTATTAGTATTTATAGTTAATTGCCGCTGTCTACGAAACAATTTGAAATTGTGAATGACAAGTTGGTTGTGAAACTATATAAAGCATATGCCTTACGCTGTACACTCATAATTAATTAAGGGAGGTTAACATCCACTACAATGCCCCAGATGTGTGTAACATTTGATGTAGATTGGACTTGGGCACGTCCATTAAAAAGATCATTAACGGGAGATAAGTCTTGAAATGGGTTAATGGTTAACACCCACTAAAACACAATATGTGACCACCATTGATGCATTGCTATCGCCAATGGTTTTACAATCAACGCTGTTTGGCATAGTTTTACATCCGTTTATATCATTGACCTATTATTTTGCTGGTTATCCAAGTAATATTTATTGAATATGAGGTAACATTCTTTCCAAACCAAGAAATATTGATCAAACATCACTTTATTTGGTAGTAATGATATGTACACCGAGGCTATTGGAATGAGTACATTTCAAGGTCAGTGTGACCTTTGTGACGTTTTCGCTTTAAAAGCAAATACATTTTCCCGTAATTCCAATACAGCAGGAAAAAACGCGTTCAATAAATAACGATTTCAATCAATGTCACATATGTGTAATTAAACTCTTTGGAATACTATTTATGCTTTGGTATCGTTTCGTCAGATCAAGTTAACTAAACGTCACGCTCAATGGATCGTGGACGTTGGACAACGTAAGCGTAACGTTACTCCGACGACGTCAATCAGCGCCATCTGTGGGCTCCGTAGTTCATATTTCTACATTATTAAAGGAAATACGTTTGTTCAATAGCGAAATGAAATTACCTACTCAAGCAGAACGTCATAGGGCTAGCTGCAATCATCAGCAGCATATGGCCCGAGTCGGACTATGCCCAGAGTAGTGCATTATAGAGGATATTGTAATTGGCTGTACCAATAACTAGCACTCATAACCCTATTGATCCTCCAACACATTCACCTTCCAGCGCACCTCAAGGTCATAGAGAGTTAAGCTGCCGCTGATAACAGCGGTAAAAGATAGAAAGATCGCCCCCGGTCATACAACAGGTTAATCTCCTACAGTAACCACACCATGTTAACATGCAGCAAATTGTGTCAAATTACTGATTTGAACACTTGTAACAGATGTGGTTAGGCATTGCGAGAAGATATAGCACGCTGCTTTGCACGCTTTCATCAGCAGAAATACACAATAACATATATACAATAGACAATAAATTGTGTCCCTGTTGACGAAATGTTTTCACAACATGTCAATATTGACGGATTGGTGTGGTTATTGTCGGGATAAAACGTTTACATCTGCATCCGTACTTATTGCGATGGTCATTCACACTCATTGTGTATATATTATTTACATGTCAACAGTTAATACTGAAATATGATATGGTGTGGGTGGATATTGATATTTGTTAATTGATAATTAGGTCGGTAATTATGACACTGCGGTGAACCCAAACTTCATCAACCACACGCGAATGATATTTTCTATTTCCACGTTATCTTGATGAATTCATAATGTATTGCACGCTGGTGTATTCTATTAATAGAGGATATTGTATACGTGTTCATGCCATACTATGTTTACGACACGAGTGTCTTAAATCCGGTATTTCCCGAGCTCTAGATCGGGAAATACCGGAATTTAGACACTCCTGTCGTAAACATAATATGACATGAACACGAATATGATGTTCTATTTATTACCGAAGAAAATGTCTACATACATAGAATATTTTTAGTGTTTACCTATGAGGACAGCAAGTCGCCACAGCGGCAAAACCACAATTTGTCGAATGACGTCAACAATCTTCAGCTATGACGTCGTTTCTAGTGTGACGTCCTGCCGACCTCACGTCACACTAAGATTCGAATGACGTCAACAATGTCTTCAGGATGACGGAAACAATACACTGTAGTCTCGTGACGTGATATGACCCAAGGGCACGTACGATTTTTTATAAACCCCGATATGTTTGCCCTCATAGGTAATAACATCGTGTATTGTGACATCTAGGTGTATGATGTCACAGTGTGTATTGTTACATCTAGGTGTATGATGTCACATTGTGTATTGTTACATCTAGGTGTATGATGTCACATTGTGTATTGTTACATCTAGGTGTATGATGTCACAGTGTGTATTGTTACATCTAGGTGTATGATGTCACATTGTGTATTGTTACATCTAGGTGTACGATGTCACAGTGTGTATTGTTACATCTAGGTGTATGATGTCACATTGTGTATTGTTACATCTAGGTGTATGATGTCACATTGTGTATTGTTACATCTAGGTGTATGATGTCACATTGTGTATTGTTACATCTAGGTGTACGATGTCACAGTGTGTATTGTTACATCTAGGTGTATGATGTCACATTGTGTATTGTTACATCTAGGTGTATGATGTCACAGTGGGTATTGTTACATCTAGGTTATGATGTCACAGTGTGTATTGTTACATCTAGGTGTATGATGTCACATCGTGTATTGTTACATCTAGGTGTATGATGTCACATTGTTTATTGTTACATCAAGGTGTATGATGTCACATTGTGTATTGTTACATCTAGGTGTATGATGTCACATCGTGCATTGTTACATCTAGGTGTATGATGTCACATTGTTTATTGTGACATCTAGGTGTATGATGTCACATCGTGTATTGTTACATCTAGGTGTATGATGTCACAGTGTGTATTGTTACATCTAGGTGTATGATGTCACAGTGTGTATTGTTACATCTAGGTGTATGATGTCACATTGTGTATTGTTACATCTAGGTGTACGATGTCACAGTGTGTATTGTTACATCTAGGTGTATGATGTCACAGTGTGTATTGTTACATCTAGGTGTATGATGTCACATTGTGTATTGTTACATCTAGGTGTACGATGTCACATTGTTTATTGTAACATCAAGGTGTATGATGTCACATTGTGTATTGTTACATCTAGGTGTATGATGTCACAGTGTGTATTGTGACATCTAGGTTATGATGTCACAGTGTGTATTGTTACATCTAGGTGTATGATGTCACATCGTGTATTGTTACATCTAGGTGTATGATGTCACATTGTTTATTATGACATCTAGGTGCATGATGTCACTTTGTGTATTGTTACATCTAGGTGTATGATGTCACATTGTGTATTGTTACATCTAGGTGTACGATGTCACATTGTTTATTGTAACATCAAGGTGTATGATGTCACATTGTGTATT